AACTTTAACACATTTACTTCTTTGACCAGTTGGTTTTAGTAGAAAATGGAAAAATGGTGGTTAAAAAAAAAGCATGGCACTATATAACTGGTGTTGTTGTACACAAATATTATGCATGTAAAAATTATACTATTTTATAATCTAATGTCAGTATATAATAGCTTATTTATTTCTCTAGATAAACCCTCTTATTATTATTAATTTAAATTTGTTGATTGGTGACATCATATAAATATGAAACTACAAAGTCTATAAATAATATTAACAAATTCTTTATAACTTACACTTAATAAGATCGCAGCTCCTTAAACTAGAAAATGTTTTTTTCCCTTTGAAACCAATGAAGGAGTAGTCAACTAAAAAGGTATCAGAAAATAACCTTTGCATTAGCTTTCTTACGGTTTCTGATATACTTTGGCCACCCATAAGTGAAAGTTGTTGAGCCTAAATACATTAATTTTATATATAATAAATAAATATTTAAATAATATAAATACATTTATACAATGTTTCAACTAATTTTATTTCTTACAATTGTTGACAAATATGACGAGTCTTTTATTATAGTATCTTCCCATTCGTTTAGATCATTCTCATTTGTTATATGTGGTACATCATAATGATGTAAGGAATGACTGTCACTACTTGAACTTGTTTGATTATTTAGTTGACTAAATATTTTATCCACCATCATTTTAAGATAGTCTTGACCATCATGAAGACGTTTAATATCATACTTAAGATTTGTAGCTATTCTTAGGGTTTGTTTAGCATAATCTTAAATCAAATTTAAATAATTAAACATAGCCATTTCTTATATTTTGAAATACTCACTGTAGCTGTTAGAATCATCACGTTCAATTGTATTATTTATATTTGATGTTGATGGAGTAGCACTAATATTATTAATACTATTTTTATAACTTGTTGATTTTTTCTCTACTTTACTTCCATTGCCTTAAATAATCCAAAGTTGATTATACAAATGTATGTACCCCATATTAATATATAAAAAAAATATGTATTAGGTATTACTTTGAGAAAAAGATGCCAACTTTTGTGGTGGTTCAGAATTTGATGAAATATAAATACTGCTCGAGCCATAATCATGTTGATCCTCAAATATGTCTTTGCAGTTTGTATAATCAATATCAGTAATATCTCCAGCGTCATCATCGCTATCTATATTATAGTTATATAAAAAAAAAAAACATAGTAAGTAAATTTGATTTTTAATATAAAATATAAACATTACAATACTAAGTATATGTATAATTTAATCTAATATGCGTGCTTATATAATATAACTACAGAATTATAATAGATAAAATATTTAGTTTTGGAGATTTTCAAGAATTGTCAATTGTTGTACAAATTAGATTCTGTATAGTATTTTGTTTGGTCAAATAATAGTGAATCTATTGTAATATAAATAAATATAGAAAGATATAATTGAAGATCAATATTGCAGTATATATACACATTATTTATACTTTTCATCACAAATAATAATTAAACTAATTAAAATACTTCTAAAAAAAAGTCAATATAATTCAACTAAAACATATATTAATATAAAATACAGATGTATTGTTGATACATTTATATCAAAATCATTAGTATTTATATCAACAATTCAAAGCACCGACATTTTGTTCAACATGTTATTATATAATATATACCAATGTTTCTTAAGATTACTATAGCTAGGTATTATTAGGTATTTATTATTATATATGGGTCTAAAGATTCATTTAACTTTTAATAAGTAATACACAGCAAGATTACAAAAAAAATAAAATTTAAAACCACACAATGGTATGGAAAATTTATTTAGTTGCATTTTAAGAAAATACTTATGTATTAATATAGGTATTAATATAAAGGTGATTCTTTTATATCATAAACCACACACTATTTCAAAATAAAGTATTTATGTTTTTGAAAATGTTCTTTTATATAGTTTCAATGGCAATAATACTTTTTGAAATAATGAGTGGTTCATGATAAACGAATCACCTTGTATAAAAGGTAAAAATATATTTACTCAGTGCAATCTTCTTTTTTGTGTTGGCGGGTTCAGAGAAGCAATCAAACAAATTTCGGTTTATCATTGGTTTTTTGGTTATTGGTGTAGTAATATCAGAGTTACTTTTTATGTGACCTTTATTTTCATCTAGCTGACTATTATTTACTATTTCACAATTAGAATCTAAAAATTAAGAATAATAGTATTAGCTCATTGTATAATAATACATACCTAAATTATAAAATAATACAGTAATACAGTAGAAATTGTTTATAATTATGTTTAAAAAACATCATAATAACTGAATAACTGATATAGTCATAACAACCAATAATATTTAGTATATACAACACACA